TAGAATAATACTATTTATTTCAAAGTGTGTGTGTGCGTGTGTGTAGATAAACTTGCATACCAAACTGGAAGGATATATACCAAAGTGTAGGAATAAAGAAAGAGTAGGGAGGAGAGAAAGACTTTATTTACTTTCTTTCTTTTCTTTTTTTTTTTTTTTTGAGATGGAGTCTCGCTCTGTTGCCCAGGCTGGAGTGTAGTGGCGCCATCTTGGCTCACTGCAACCTCCACCTCCTGAGTTCAAGTGATTCTTCTGCCTCAGCCTCCTGAGTAGCTGGGACTACAGGTGCACACCACCACACACAGGTAATTTTTGTATTTTTAGTAGAGACAGGGTTTCACCTTATTTGCCAGGCAGGTCTTGAAATCCTGACCTCATGGTCCTCCTGCCTCAACCTCCCAAAGTGCTGGGATTACACGCGTGAGCCACTGTGCCCAGCTGATTACTTTCTGTCACGCGCGTCCGTGTGAAGAGACCACTAAACAGGCTTTGTGTGAGCAATAAAGCTTTTTAATCACCTGGGTGCAGGCGGGCTGAGTCCGAAAAGAGAGTCAACGAAGGGAGATTGGGGTGGGGCCGTTTTATAGGATTTGGGAGGTAGTGGAAAATTATAGTCAAAGGGGTTTGTTCTCTGGTGGGCATGGACGGGGGTCATAAGGTGCTCAGTGGTGGAGCTTCTGAGCCAGGAGAAGGAATTTCACAAGGTAATGTCATCAGTTAAGGCAAGAATTGGCCATTTTCACTTCTTTTGTGATTCTTCACTTGCTTCAGGCCGTCTGGATGTATACATGCAGGCTTGAGCTCAGAGGCCTGACACTTTCCATACTTCTATATATTGTTTGATATTTTTCAGGGAGCATGTGCGTTGAATATGAATGTATATGGACAATTCTGCAGGTTCAAAGCTAAAGTGATTCTGCGTGTTTTCCTTTTCTTTTCATGCCATGAAAGAGCCCAAATGCGGTTGTATGGTGTTATGTATGAGAGTCAGGATCTTACACTGATTTGTAGTGAGGAAATCCACTGGTTCTCTGCTCCATGGTATTGTTGCAGAAGGGAAGTTTATGAGTCAAATAACTCCACTCTTGTGCCTTAACGTCACCACAGAGCTGACCAAAAGTCTGACTCATGTTTCTTTTTATATTGTTAGATTTCCTTTCTCTGCTTGGTTTTGAGCATATGTCACCAGAACACATGGAATTTAAATCCCCAAATCTAGAATTAATATTTCGTGACTGTAACAAGGTATCTGTCCCATGCTTTGGAATTCTGGACTTTGGGTCTTGATTTACCCTGGTACTTATTAGAATCTTTTTGAGACCTTGGCAATGAAATGATTGACTTTGAGCCTTGGTATCTTCATCTGTATCATGAAGATGTTAATAATATTAATCCCACAGTATTATTGCCAAGATCAAATGGGATAACCTATATGAAAGCCTTTGAAAATTATAAGCAATATACAAATAAATATAACATACTATTATTTTATTAGTCCTAGTAACAAAAAGATACTTAATTCTCACTGACTACAGGGTTAGAGAATGAACATGCCCTGCCTTACTTCTCCTTTCCATGCCGTGCAAAATGTTCCCGCAACTCCATCCCACAAAAAAAGATTTGCTTGGCAGTACAATTTTGATTGCTTGATGTTTCCATAGTGGTGTACCAAGAATCATAGGCAAGACAAGGAACTTGTAGCAAAATATTTCCTTGTTCTGTCCCCAGCCCAGATTTGTCCCCAGCAATACCAGGTTATTTATACCTTTTCTTCCCTTTATACTTGGCTCCTAGGAGAGCCAGGGGCCATGGCCTGTGCAGTGTTTTATTAAAGGGTCTTCCAGTAGGATTGTAATGGTTTTAAAAGATGATCACAAATTCTTTGACATTTCTCCCATTGAGTGTGGGATCTATATTCCCTTCCTTTGAATCTGGGTGGATTCATGACTGCTTTGACTGATAGAGTATGGCAGAAGTGTTGCTCTGTGAATTTCAAGCCTAAGTTATAGAAAACCATGCAGCCTCTGCCTTGTTAACTAGGACATTTGTTTATAGATTCTTGTCATCATAAAAAGTCCAGCTACCCTGAGCCACTGTGCTAGAGAGGCAATGTGTAGATGCTGTGATCAGTAATCCCTGTTTAGCCTGGTCTTCTAGCCAAGATATCAGAAACACGAGGGAAACCAGCTTGGACCCGCCACACCACTCTGCATGCCAGATGAATGCCAAGTGTCCTCCACCAATGCCTCATGGAACAGAATTCTCCACCTGGTCTCTGCTTAAATTCATGACCTACAAAATTGTTTTGGGGTAGCTTGTTACATAATAATTGGTAACCAGAACAGGAACGATAACCCCATTTTAGTTCAACTTTTGGACAGATTACGCATAATTATGGGGGTCAATTTATCTTTCTTTTTTCTTTCTTTGCAGTGAATTTTTTTTTTTACAGAGTCTTGCTTTGTTGACCAGGTTGGAGTGCAGTGGTGCCATCTTGGCTCACTGTAGCCTCAACTTCCTGGGCTCAAGCAATCCTCCCACCTCAGCTTCCCAAGTAGTTGGGACTACAGGTGCGTGTCACTGTGCTTGGCTAATTTTTGGTTTATTTTTTGTAGAGATGACATCTCACTCTGTTGCCTGGTCTCAAACTCCTGGGCTCAAGTGATGCTCCCATTATGGCCCCCAAAGTGCTGGGATTGTAAGCATGAGCCATGATGCCTGGCCTTCCTACGGCACTCAGTATTCCAAGAGGTCTCCCATCCAAGCACTAACCAGGCCCAACTCTGCTTAGTTTCTGAGATCAGATAAGTTCCTTTTATTAAAAAAGAAATAGAGCTTACTGACTATTTTTGATAACTAGGTATTTAGATAAAGACTTCCAAAGAGATATCCTAAGCTTGAACTCTTACCCCAAATAGGGAGCACCAGAGCTTCTTTGCTGTCATCTTGCCTGAGAAACTTCCTTGCACTGGGGCTACTGAGTCAACAACATTCTTCATAAAAAGAATTTTCCTTTCGGAGTCTGAGGCCGGTGGATAATTGAGGCCAGGAGTTTGAGACCAGCCTGGCCACTTGGTGAAACTCTGTCTCTATAAAAAAATACAAAAATTAGCCAGGTGTAGTGACAGGTGCCTGTAGTCCCAGATACTCAGGAGGTTGAACCTGGGAGAGGGAGGTTGCAGTGAGCCAAGATTGTGCCATTGCACTCCAGCCTGGGTGACAGAGCAAGACTCCGTCTCAAAAAAAAGAAAAAAAAAAGAATTTGGTAAGAATATTCATAGGTACTCACCGTTTCTCTTAGGTAAAGAGCTAAGAGTGGAATTCCTGGGTTATGGGATAGATATATGTTTAACTTGGCAGGAAATTGCTAATTTGTCAAAGTATTTATATTGTTTTACACCTCCATTAGGAAAGTATGAGTGATCATTCCTCATCTCACCAACATTTGGTATTGTCAGGTGGGTTTTTTTTTTTCATTTAATTTTGGTGAATTCTAATTTATGTGTTTTGTTTTTGTTGTTGTTGTTGTTGCTGCTGCTGCTGGTGTTTTTGGTATTGTATCTTAGAAATTGTTGACTAATCCAAAGTCACAAAGATTTACACCTGTGTTTTCTTCCAAGCGTTTTATAGCTTCAGCTCTTACTTTTAGGTGTATGATCCCCTTTGAGTTAACTTTTGTACCTGATGTGAAGAAATGGTCCAAACTGATTCTTTTGCATGTGGATATCCAGATGTCCTAGGATCTGTTGTAAAGACGGTTCTTTCCTTACTGAGTTGCCTTGATCCCTTTGTGGAAAATCAGCTGACCATAAATGTATGGATTTATTTCTGGACTCTCAATTCGACTGATGTATATGCCTATCCTTATGCATAGTTTTAATTGTGGTAATTCACTGTAGTCTTTTTTTTTTTTTTTTGGCGGAGTCTCGCTCTGTGGCCCAGGCTGGAGTGCAGTGGCCGGATCTCAGCTCACTGCAAGCTCCGCCTCCCGGGTTCACGCCATTCTCCTGCCTCAGCCTCCCGAGTAGCTGGGACTACAGGCGCCCGCTACCTCGCCCGGCTAGATTTTTGTATTTTTTAGTAGAGACGGGGTTTCACTGTGTTAGCCAGGATGGTCTTGATCTCCTGACCTCGTGATCCGCCCGTCTCGGCCTCCCAAAGTGCTGGGATTACAGGCTTGAGCCACCGCGCCCGGCCCACTGTAGTCTTAATTGTGGCAATTCATCATAGTCTTAATTTTCATTTAATTGTATTTTCCTGATGACTAATAATTGCCCTAGAAAGTTCCTTCTTACCCATGCCAGTCAATCCCTTTCCTCAGCCCCATTCCCCCAGAGCTAGCCACTGTTTTGATTAGTTTCCACTGTAGATGAGTTTTAACCTGTTCAGGACCATTATATGAAAGGATTCACACAGTGTACACTTTTTAGTATGGGCTTCTTTCACTCAGCCTGTTTTTGAGATTTATCCATGTATGGTGTATATCATAGTTTGTTCCTTTCAGAAGAAATTTTTACCACAAAGATTTTCAAATTTATCTCAACTTATTTCTTTTTATTTAATTTGTATGTGAAAAATTTTAGCCTATTTTTTACATTTCTCATCCAATTGCAGATTATTTTAAATTTGCAGTTTTAGCTTTGCCCAGTTTTGGATCTCTAACGTTTTGCTTATTTCTGGTTTTTGTCAAGCCCAGGCACTTAACTTCTGCTAGTCCCTTGAAGGCTGTACCACAGTCAAGGGCCATTTTCTTCCTTCTTTTAAAGCTCACATACATTGCCATTTTTTTATTAGCTGACGTGTGTATTTATCCAAACATCTGATTTATTCCAGCTTTAGATTATATTTTTGCATCTGAGTTATTAAAATACACATTTAGTTTACAATACCTACAAGCATTTATCAAAAATTTACTGAAGTTATTCATGGTATTTTGGGGGGAAACACTATCTAAAAGGGACCCGTGATTATTTATTTATTTACTGCACTTGATTTTGCAGACGAGTCTGGAAGTGTTAGTTGCAAAGGTATGCATTTGCTTCTCTGGCTACAAGAAAGAACAGAAATGCACAAAGAGGAGCAGTGTGAAGAAGAAGAGGCGTTGATCCCCAGACCGACCAAAGCCCGCACTCCGCTGCATCCTGCGCCCAGCGCCCATGTCCCACCACGGTCGCTGCCACCATGCCCGGGAGCAAGGCTGAAGGGGATGCTAAAGGAGATAAAGCCAAGGTGAGGTAGAACCGCAGAGAAGATCCACAAGGTTGTCTGCTAAACCTGCTCCTGCAAAGCCAGAGCCCAAGCCTAAAAAAGGCCTCTGCAAAAAAGAGACAGAAGGTACCTAAAGAGAAAAAGGGAAAAGCTGATGCTGGCAAGGAGGGGAATAACCCTGCAGAAAATAGAGATGCCAAAACAGACTAGGCACGGAAAGCTGAAGGTGCTGTAGATGCCAAGCGAAGTGTGTGCATTTTTGATAACTGTGTACTTCTGGTGACTGTACAGTTTGAAATACTATTTTTTTTTTTTTTTTTTTTTTGAGACGGAGTCTTGCTCTGTCACCCAGGCTGGAGTGCAGTGGCGCAATCTCGGCTCACTACAAGCTCCGCCTTGCGGGTTCACACTGTTCTGCTGCCTCAGCCTCCCGAGTAGCTGGGACTACAGGCGCCCGCCACCACGCCCGGCTAATTTTTTGCATTTTTAGTAGAGACGAGGTTTCACTGTGTTAGCCAGGATGGTCTTGATCTCCTGACCTCGTGATCCGCCCGTCTCGGCCTCCCAAAGTGCTGGGATTACAGGCGTGAGCCACCATGCCCAGCCTGAAATACTATTTTTTAATCAAGTTTTATCAAAGTGCAGATTTTGTTTTGCTTTTTTTTGTTTTTGTTTTTTTAAGCTATGTTGTTACTACACAGAACACTTAATTATTGTTTTGAGGGGAAGGGCCATGTGTCACTAATAGAAAGTCCTCGAGGCTGGACTGATGTGGGGAAAACACCTTTTCCTTCTAGTTTTGAGAGACTTCCTCTTGGGCCCCAGGAGGAGCGATTCCCTGACTTTGACACACATGGCCACCTTGGTACAAAACCCTTGTGGTATGAAAAAACAAATTCATTTTTTATGTCCTCTTCTTTCTACCTTTCAGAATAGACTTAAATCCCTTAAACCCAGACATCTTCTAGGAGCTGACCTCCAATAACTGGTTACCAGTGTGTCAGACAATCTGGACTTTCCCCTCAAAAGAGCAGTGGTTCCTGTTTCTAGGTTGGGGATCTTCAGATAAATTGTGTCATTTTCATTTCACTTCCTGAAAGCCAGGGTCAGCTCACGACAAGTTGTTAAACAGCATATGCTAAATGTGAAATGTCAACCCTCACTCTAAACTTTCCCTGTTCAGAGCATCAGAGGAAGACTTCACTGGATGTTACAGTGGCTTTCTGATTTTTGGTAGTCCATTGAAGAAGGGAGTTTGAAAGTTGTTGTATACTGTTAACGATTGTCTGCCCATGTGCTGCCCAAAATACCACGATTCTTTATGGAAATTATCTTTAATAAAGCTGGATACAGTTTGGCTTGGGAAAAAGAAATGCACAAAGAAGGCAAAGTGAGCTTGTGCTGTTCTGAAGAATAACCTGAAGAAGAGTGAGTTTGTGGGATAGCCAGTCTCCTCACCTTTTCCACCTTCACTCTTGAATTCTTGGTCTCCTCTGGCTCCTGTCTTTTTTGTCCCTTTTTTTCCCCCCAAATAATACCTGCCTTAGGCAAAATTATCAAATCAACCCCCCTGCCAGTACTCCCGTTGCTGCCTGATTCTCCTCCTTTATTCCTCTGTGCAAGCCCCCTTATGCTGAACCTCCAACCCTCAGGGTTCAACCAGACAGACAAAACCAGCAGGAAATATACATTAAGAGAGTTTTTGCACAGAATTGGCTTGTGTGATGGTGGCAGCTCGCAAGACACCCTAGAAAAGCAGGCCTGGTCTCTTAGACACCAGCTGAAGTTAACTACAGAGAAATTTCTTCTTCTGCAGAGAAGCCTTAGTTCTGCAATTACAACCTTTCCACAGATTAAATCAGGCCCACTCAGATGATTTAGAATAATCTCTCTTACGTAAAGTCAACTGATTATGGATTTAATTCACATCAACAAATTACCTTCATTGAAACACCTAAATTAGTGTTTGATTGAATAAGAGGGGACTGTAGTCTAGCCAAACTGACACATAAAGCTGACCATCGCACTCTATTTCCTACAGGAGTTGGCTTTCACATACTGGCTCAACTGGTAACTAAAATGTAGCTGATAGAAGCTGAATGCTCAAGAGTAGTTTTGTTTTATGAAGAAATCTTCAAGAAACAATATGAAATAAAAATAGCAAAGGTATGTGCGGGGTGGGGTACCTATTCAAAAGGCAAGAACTGCTCACAGGCATGGTCACCCTTTCTCATTGTCCCCTCAATCTCGTGAAATATCAGCCATTCGGAATCTTTTATGTTATCTCTACGTAGTCCTCTACCATCCCCACCAATGTACCCACCCAACAGCTCTTGACCAGCACCTCCAGGTTTCCTCCCATGAAAACACCTTGAGATCTACACCTAACATCTACTTTTAGGCTTCCCCCATCTTCTCAGCCCTGTGCATATATTTAGGGACCACACTTTTCTCTCATATTTAATTTGTCTCCTGTGGAAGTCTTTATGAAGATCAAAGTATTCATGTATTCATCCATCAAATGTATGTCTAGGGCAATGGCAGGTGGTGCATATAAAATAAATGGATTCACTTCCTCTGTGTCCTGGGCTTGTTTCATCCTGTCCCTGTGTGCTAGAAGCCCAGGACACAGAGGAAGAAGCAGTGTGTTCTGACTGAGGGATTTCGGAAAGCTGAATAGAGTCCATCAGCTGGTTAAGAAGGATTTTGATGGATGGAGAAGAGCATTTCAGGTTTAGTGGACTACATGAACAAATGCAAGGAGTCCTGAAGATGAAGGCATGATTCAGAGCCTGCTCCTGGATTTGGATGCAGTATGTCGCTGGCTGAAGAGTCACATTTGGGGCACCAGGTTTTCACCAGCCTCACTTCATTTAAATGAGACTGAAGCCTACTGATAATTAGAAGACACTAAGGCTTAGGACAGATTTAGAAGAAGTGGTTAAAAAGGTGGAATGTCAGAGAATACAATACCCGAAAGTCAAGGGAGGATGTTGTAAATTATGTTTTGTTGCCACAGACATAAATCTAATGTCTTGTGACTCAGTGCTCAGCTTTCTGTCTTGCTGGGCTGCCCTGTTTGAGTCCTTTGGCTAGAGATAGCAGGCTTTTCTTGGTGTTTTTTCTCCCCCGTGCACAGTGACACAAGCTTCTCCAGCACATAGTCCACAAAATCTTTTTTATTTTTATTTATTTATTTTTTGAGACAAGATCTTGTGCTGTCGCCCATGCTGGAGTGCAGTGTCGCAGTCACAGCTCACTGCAGACTTGAACTCATGGATTCAAGCAATTCTCCTGCCTCAGCCTCTCAAGCAGCTGGGACTACAGGTGTGTGCCACCATGCCCAGCCAATTTTTAAATTTTTGGTAGGCACAAGTCTTGCTATGTTGCTCAGGCTCAGGATATCTTTATAAAGTTTTTTCCTTTTTTATTTTTTTGTGGGGGGAAGACACAGTCTCACTCTGTTACCCAGGTTAGAGTGCAGTGGTGTGATCACAGCTCACTGCAGCCTTGACCTTCTGGGCTCAAGTGATCTTCCTACCTCAGCCTCCTGAGTAGCTGGGACTACAGGTGCATGCCACCGTGCCCAGCTATTTTAATTTTATTTTTTTAAATAAGAGACAAGGACTTGCTATGTTGCCCAGGCTGGTCTTGAACTCCTGGGCTCAAGTGGATCCTCCTGCCTTAGCCTCTCCCAAAGTGCTCGAGTTACAGGTGTGAACTACTGTCCTTGACCTTTAAAGTTTAAAATCATTTTTTTTTTTAGGTATCCTTTACCTGCAATAAAATGTACTCATTTCAAGTATACAGTCCTATGAATTTTTTCTTTTCTTTTTCTTTCTTTCTTTTTTTTTTTTTGAGATGGAGTCTTGCTCTGTTGCCCAGGCTGGAGTGCAGAGGCACGATCTCAGCTCACTGCAAGCTCCGCCTCCTGGGTTCACGCCATTCTCCTGCCTCAGCCTCCTGAGTAGCTGGGACTACAGGCGCCCATCACCACGCCAGGCTAATTTTTTTGTATTTTTAGTAGAGACAGAGTTTCACCGTGTTAGTCAGGATGGCCTCAATCTCCTGACCTCGCGATCCGCCCGCCTTGGCCTCCCAAAGCGCTGGGATTACAGGCGTGAGCCACTGCGCCGGGCTTTTTTTTTTTTTTTTTTTTTTGAGACACAGTCTCACTGTGGTCACTCAGGCTGGAGTGCGGGGACATGATCATAATTCACTGCAGCCTTGAACTCCTGGGCTCAAGTGATCCTCTCACCTCAGCCTCCTGAGTATCTAGGACTACAGGCATGTGCCACCATGCCTGGCTAACTTTTTTTTTTTTTTTTTTGGTAGATAGCAGGGTCTCACTGCATTGCTCATTGTTCAGGCTGCTTTTGAATTCCTGGTTGCAAGTGATCCTCCTTCTTCAGCCTCCCATCTGGAACTATAGGTGTGAGCTAGCATGCCCAGCCTTGAACTTTGAAAAATACATGCAATTATGTAACTATCATTATAAGATACAGAACTTTTTCATCATCAAAAAGTTTTCTTTTTTTTTTTTCTTTTTTGAGACAAAGTCAACCTCCGTCTCCTGGGTTCAAGCGATTCTCCTGCCTCAGCCTCCCGCGTAGCTGGGATTACAGGCACACACCACTATGCCCAGCTAATTTTTGTATTTTTTAGTAGAGACAGAGTTTCACCGTGTTGGCCAGGCTGGTCTGGATCTCCTGACCTCAAATGATCCACCTGCCTCAGCCTCCCAAAGTGCTGGGATTACAGGTGTGAGCCACCATGCCCAGCCAAAAGTTTTCTTATTTAAGATGTTAATACTACCCACAGTGAACTACAGATTCAATGTGATCCCTATCAAAATCCTAACAATGGCTGGGCATGGTGGCTCACCCCTGTGATCTCAACACTTTGGGAGACCGAGGAGGGAGGATTGCTTGAGGCCAGGAGTTCAAGACCAGCCTGGGCAACATAGTGAGACGCCCCCAGCTCTCAAAAAAACAAAAAAACAAAAAAAATCTAACAACCTTTCTTGCAGAAATAGGAAAATACATCCTAAGATTCATAAGGAATCTCCAGGGACCCCAAATTGCCAAAACAATCTTGAAAAAGAAGAAGAAAGTTGGACTTCTTACACTTTCCAGTTTCAAAACTTACTACAAAACTATAATAATCAAAATAGTGTGGTTCTGGCCTAAAGAAGGACATATGGATCAGTGGATTCAGAAGTAAACCCTCAGATATAGGGTCAAATGATTTTTGACAGGAGTGTCAAGACAATTCAGTAAGAAAAGGATAGTCTTTTTCAACAAATGACGATGGGAAAACTGGATATTCACATGTAAAAAAAAAAAAGAAGTTGGACCCTTACCTTACACCATATACAAAAATCAAATAAAAATGGATTACAGACCTACATGTAAGAACTAAAACTATAAAACTCAAATGAAAACATAGGGGAAAAGTTTTGTGGCATTGTTTTAGCAATGATTTATTAGCTATAACTCAAAAGGGATAGGCAACAAAAGAAAAAAGATAAATTAGATCCCATCAAAATTAAAAACTTGTACATCAAAGGACACTATCAACAGATTATAAAGGTGACCCAGGGAATGGGAGAAAATACATGCTAGCTAATCATAGCTCTGATAAGTCATTGATATCTAGAATATATAAAGAAGAAATATATTTCAACAACAACAAAAAACCAAACAACCCAATTTTTAAAGTGGGGCAAAGGACTTGAATGGCATTTCTTCAAAGGAGATATACAAATGGCAAATAAGCACATGAAAAGATGCTTAACATCACTAATTATTAGGGAAATGCAAATCAAAACCACAAGGATGCCTGGCCTGGTGGCATGTGCCTGTAGAGTCTGGGCTATTAGGGAGGCTGAGGCAGGAGGATCCTTTGAGCCCAGGAGTTTGAGGAGTGGGTGATAATTGCACCTGTGAATAGCCACTATATTCCAGCCTGGACAACATTGCAAGATCCTATTTATTTAAAAAATCTGCATACAAGGAGTTACTACTTTCCACTTTACACTCATTAGAATGGCTATTATACACACACACACACCTATAGGTGTTGGCAAGATGTGGAAAAATTGGAACCTTTGTGCATTGGTGGGAATGTAAAAACATGCAACTAGGCTGGGCATGGTGGCTCATGCCTATAATCCCAGCACTCTGGGAGGCGGAGATGGGCTGAACACTTGAAGTTAGGAGTTCGTGACCAGCTTGGCCAACATGGAAAATCATGTCTGTACTAAAAATACAAAAATTAGCTGGGTGTAGTGGCACGTGCCTCTAGTCCCAGCTACTTGGGAGGCTGAAGCAGAAGAATCACTTGAACTCAGGAGGCAAAGTTTTCAGTGAGCCAAGACTATGCCACCGCACTCCAACCTGGGCGACAGGGCAAGACTCCATCTCAAAAAAAACAAACAAAAAAAACCAAAAACGACAGTAACAACAATAAAAACCATGCAACTGCTATGGAAGATGGTGTGGTGTTTCTTCAAAAAATTAAACATAAAATTACCATATGATCCAGCCTTTCTACTTCTGATTATAGACCCCCAAAAAAGTGAAAGCAAAAACTTGAACAGATGCTTGTACATCCATATTCACAGCAGCATTATTCACAATAATCAAAGGAAGGAAGCAACCCAAGTGCCCACAGGTGGGTGAAAGAATAAACACAATGTGTGTACGCACAGTGGAATATTATTCAGCCTGAAAAAGGAAGAAGATTCTAACACATGTTCCAACATGGATGAAACTTGAAGATAGTATGCCAAGTGAAAAAGACAGCCACAAAAGGGCTGGGTACGGTGGCTCACGCCTGTAATCCCAGCACTTTAAGAGGCCGAGGCAGGAGGATCATGTGAGCCCAGGAGTTTGAGACCAGTCTGGACAACATAGCGAGACCCAGTCTCTACACACACAAGAAAATTAGCCAGACATAGGCTGGGCACGGTGGCTCACACCTGTAATCCCAGCACTTTGGGAGGCCGAGGCAGGTGGATCACCTGAGGTCAAGAGTTCGAGACCAGCCTGGCCAACATGGTGAAACCTCGTCTCTACTAAAAATACAAAAATTAGCTGGGTGTTGTGGCGGGCGCCTGTAATCCCATCTACTCAGGAGGCTGAGGCAGGAGAATCGCTTGAAGCCGGGAAGTGGTGGTTGCAGTGAGCTGAGATTATACCACTGCACTCCAGCCTGGGTGACAGAATGAGACTCCATCCCCCCTGCCAAAAAAAAAAAAGAAAATTAGCCAGGCATGGTGGCATGTACCAGTAATCCCAACAACTCCAGGAGGCTGAAGTGGGAGTATCACATAAGCCTGGGAAGTCAGCAGGGCAATGAGACATAACTGTGCCACTACACTCCAACCTGGGTGACAGAGCAAGACTCAGTCTCAAAAACAAAAGAAAGAAAGAAATATGATTAACTTTTATAACAATATAATGACTAGGAATATTAATTTATTTATAGCACAGGAAAGGTGGAGGAAGGAATAGAGAGAGAGATACTACATTATGAAGGGGACTTTGGCAATCCCATAGTCCCACTAACAAATCTAGACTTAAAATTTGGTTAATATAGAGAATATGGTATAAGCAGGGAGGACTAACAATTTCTCCTTAACTTTTTCCTGTGGTTTCTGTCAGGCCTCTGAGCCCAAGCCAAGCCATCATATCCCCTGTGACTTGCACATATATGCCCAGATGGCCTGAAGTAACTGAAGAATTACAAAAGAAGGGCAAATGCCCTGCCTCACCTTAACTGATGACATTCCACCACAAAAGAAGTGAAAATGGCCGGTCCTTGCCTTAAACGATGATATTATCTTGTGAAATTCCTTTTCCTGGCTTATCCTGGCTCAAAAAGCTCCCCCACTAAGCACCTTGTGACCCCCACTACTCCGACCTGCCAGAGAACAACCCCCCTTTGACTGTAATTTTCCTTTATCTACCCAAATCCTATAAAACGGCCCCACCCTTATCTCCCTTCACTGACTCTCTTTTCAGACTCAGCCGCCTGCACCCATGTGAAATAAACAGCCATGTTGCTCACACAAAGCCTGTTTGGTGGTCTCTTCACATGGACGGGCATGACAGTTTCATCTTGCCATTCCTTGCCATCTTCCTCCCCTTAAATAAAAGGGAGGAAGGGAGGAAGGAAAAGGGCAAGGAAACGGAAGATGCACCCATAACTCCCAAAACTAGAGAAGGTTTGGGCAAATAGTACTTGAAAGAGAGATAACTCGGGTTCAGTGGCTCATGCCTGTAATCCTAGCACTTTGGGAGGCTAAGGTGGAAGGATCACTTGAAGCCAGGAGTTCAAGACCAGCCTAGGCAACAAGGCGAGACCCCTGTTTTTTGTTTTTTGTTTTCTACCTTTTTTTTTTTTTTTTTTAAAGAAAGAAAACTCTAAACAGTTGAGATACCTAGTTTCTTGAAATAATTGTTAGTAGTGACAATCCTGAGTTGTTTCTTATTTCTGACACACCAGAAATGTGAATCCTATTGTAGTCTCAAGTGACTTTGAAGGAGTCCTTGCTGAGGCATATAGGGCCATCCTATTGGGAGAGAACTGGGCTCCAACCAGCCAGGGGCCTCTCATGATAATGCCAACGGGGCAGGGCATGCTGATTCTCTTTCTTGCTTCTCTCTCATCTCATCTCTCTCTTTTCTTTGCCGCTCAGCAGCTATCTTGCTATCTTGTTCCAACGGTGTCTTTTTTTCTGTCTTACCTTTTCCCTTTCCCATTCTTCCAGCATACTTCTGTCAGTGAAATGAATGCTCATGGTTTTTAATGAAACTTTTAAAAGCAAACACCCACTGATTCTGTAGCAAGACTGCTAGTTGCTTTCCAGCCATCCATACTCCCCGTCTTTCCAGTGTTTTACCTGTGTTCGTGGCTGTTCAGTGAAAGACTGCATCTCTTAGCCTTTCTTGCAACTAAGACTAGCACGTGACTAAGTTCTGGTCTTTGGGATTTGAGTGGGGGTGATACATGCAGTTCCAGCTCATGGCACAGAGAGGTGTCCTCTCTTTCCAACCCTTCATCCTGCTTCCTGACACGGGCATGTGCTGGGGCCCTCTGGGACCATACAGATGAGGCCAGTACCCAAAGGGTGACAGAGCTACAAGCTACCAGGACCCCATGTCCCTGTGTGAACGGATAGACTTCTGCCTTGTTTGAACCATTGTTACCTTGATCTTTGTTACAGCAGCTGAATATATACTCTAATATAAATCCTACCATGGGCAAGAGACTGGATTAGGCAATAAACATCTAAAGATGAGTGAAATGACTTGAAAGTGCAAATCCTGAAAGAGTTCGAAATTGTCCCAGTTGTCTCAGAGAACTAATATTTATGATTTTTGAATAAATGTAGCAATTGATTCTCCCGGGTCTTAAGACTTGAAACTTACATTTGTCTTACCTCAGTTCCTTCCTCAGGAAACTGACCCTCAGGCAAAGAATTGAAACTCATGAGATCACCACATCCAGACAATGAGTGGCCAGACTCCCTCATCCATCATGATTGCTTCCCTACCCCTCCCTCATTCCTTTTCTCCCCAACTTCCCCGCTACATAAACCTCCCAATTTTAGTTGGTAGGGGAGACGTATCTGAGATTTACCTCCCATTCTCCTCTGCTGCAGCACCCAATTAAAGCCCCTTCCCTGGCCCTACTCATTGTCTCCGTGATTGACATTTCATACAGTGAGCAACAGGACCTAGACTGAACCCCTGGCGTTTCTGTAACAAGTTCACAACCAAGTGGAAAACATAGCCACAAACTTAGTAACTGTAATACAGGGTAGACTATGGAAACGACTTTATTGGAGATGTAAACAAAGGCTGCTGCGAGACATTAATTCGGGTTGTAGTGGTACTAAGAAAGACTTCCTGAATGAGGCAATATATGACTTGGGATTTGGACAGTGAATTGAATTCTGATAATGAAAGAGGATAAACAAGGCACTCCAGGAAGAAGGAACAGTATGTGTAAAGGCACAAAGACATAGAAGTGCACATCGTATCTAGAAAATAACCATTAGAACAGGCAGAATATCAGTGAGTGTTGAGGAATAATAGCCCAACTAGGTAGGGACCAGATTGTGATGGCCCTTGAATGTCATATTAAGGAATTTGGGCCAGGCTCAGTGGCTCATGCCTGTAATCCCAGCACTTTGGGAGGCTGAGGTGGGTGGATCACTTGAGGTCAGGAGTTTGAGACCAGTCTGGCCAACATGGTGAAACCCCCGACTCTACTAAAAATTACAAAAATTAGCCTGGTGTGATGACGGGCACCTGTAATTCCAGCTACTCGAGTGTCAGCTCTGTGTCCCCATCCAAGTCTCATGTCAAATTATAATCCCCATGTGTTCAAAGTGGGGCCTGGTGGGAGGTGCTTTGATGGGGTGATTTCTAATGGTTTAGCACCATCCCCCAGTGCTGTCTCATGATAGAGTTCTCATGAGACCTGATGGTTTAAAAGTGTGTGGCAGTTCCCTGCTTGTTCTGTCTCCCTCCTGCCTGGCCATGGTAACAAATGCCTACTTCCTCTTCACCTTCTGCCATGGTTGTAAGTTTCCTGAGGCTAGCCATGCTTCCTGTTAAGCCTGCAGAACTGTGAGCCAATTAAATTTCTTTTCTTCATAAATTACTCAGTCTCAGGTAGTTCTTTATAGCAGTGTGAAAATGGACTAATACAAATAATGACATACAAAAGCCAGAGGGTCTCCTAGGCAGGAAATAACTAGACTCTCAAATCTTGAAGTCAGATGGCAGCAAAAGTTGAAGAAAAGGCCCAGGACTAAAACAGGAGCCAAACTTGCTCCATAGAAGAGTGAATTTTTGGCCAGGTGTGGTGGCTCACGCCTGTAATCCCAGCACTTTGGGAGGCCGAGGCAGGCAGATCATGAGGTTAGGAGATCCAGACCATCCTGGCCAACATAGTGAAACCCTGTCTCTACTAAAATTTTTTTTTTTTTTTTTTTGAGACGGAGTCTCGCTCTGTCGCCCAGGCTGGAGTGCAGTGGCACGATCTCGGCTCACTGCAAGCTCCACCTCCCGGGTTCACGCCATTCTCCTGCCTCAGCCTCCTGAGTAGCTAGTACAGGCGCCCGCCACTGCACCCGGCTAATTTTTTGTATTTTTAGTAGAGACGGGGTTTCACCGTGGTCTCGATCGCCTGACCTTGTGATTCGCCCGCTTCGGCCTCCCAAAGTGCTGGGATTACAGGCGTGAGCCACCGCGCCCAGCGTCTCTACTAAAATTACAAAAATTATCTGGGTGTGTTGGTGGGCACCTATAATCCCAGCTACTTGGGAGGCTGAGGCAGGAGAAGCGCTTGAACCTGGGAGGCGGAGGTTGCAGTGAGCCAAGATTGCACCACTGCACTCCAGCCTGGGCAACAGAGCAAGACTGTTTCTAAAAAAAAAAAAAAAAAAAAAAAAAGAAGAGTGAATTGGCAGGGCACTGTGGGTGGCTCACACCTGTAACCCAAGCACTTTGGGAAGTTGAGACGAGTGGATCCCTTGAGCTCAGGAGTTCAAGACCAGCCTGAGCAACATGGCGAAACCCCATCTCTACAAAAAATAAGCCGGGCATGGCAGTGTGCACCTGTAATCCCAGCTACTTGGGAGGCTGAGATGGGAGGCTCACCTGAGATGAGAGGCTCACCCGAACCTGGGAGGTTGAGGCTGCAGTGAGCCATGATAGTGGCAGAGCAAGATCTTGTCTCAAAAAATTAAAAAAAAAATACATAGAAGAGTGAATCCTCAGCCATGCCAAGTGTGTTACATCAATGTCAGTGTCTTTGCTGGGAGGAAGTGGGATCCTGAAACTTGAGATGGAAAAATCCAGGTTGATAAACTTGAAAATCTTGAATCCTCAGATTCCCCTGAACCCTCTGGGTCTGAAGAAGCAGCTCAGTCCTTCCTGTGAAAGGCCGATGATCCCACTTTACTTAAAATGATGTAGATGGTTAGGCCTAGCTTCTGCGGGAGAGTGGTTGGTTGTGAGGGCCGCAAGATGGGCATTCTTCCAGAATGTAAAAATATCTCACTGTGGGTGGAAGTTCCCAAAGACCTGGAAGATCCAGAGGTGTTTCAGGCCCAGAGGCGGCTGCTAGAAGCCACGTATGGCCCAGAAGGGTCACAGATCCCTTACACTGAGCAGGTAAGCAAGGCCATGCTTGAGCTGAAGGCTCTGAAATCTTCAGATCTCACTGAGGTCATGGTTTTTGGCTCCTATTTGTACAAGCTCTGGACCAAGTGGATGCTGCAAGTCCGTGGCTGAGTGGTTCCAGCTTGGTTTAAACTCTGCTCCAGAGTGATGAATTAAGGAAAAAACCATCTGTTTTGGCGTCTCTGCCCTTGCTCTGACTCCAGTTGTGAATATCGTTTTTGAATGTTGCAAATTCAAGAATAAAGTTTTAAATAAACAGTAAATAGTTTTAAAAAATGACTTAGAGGCCTTTGGCTTGCATCATCCCCATAATGCATAAGATCACATCCATCCATCCCCATAATTAACTCTCATCTCCCCACCCGGCCACCAGACCAGTGCTGGGATCAGGGAGCACCGTACCTAGCACCTCCCTTAGCTGCTAAGGGAAACATGGATCACCTGCTAAAAGAGATGCAGGGTATAGCTAGTATGTATTGGCAGGAGCTGGGAGTGAATATATGGAACTGGATGCTAAGGAGGCTGGATCAGTAGAGATAAAGAAGAATTTATGGATAAGGGAGCACTCTTCCATAACACAGGATTTAACATCTTGGGAAAGAGTGTTAACTTGCTGCCAAGATAGTTTTTGAGAAAGCTTAGAAGAAATATAATAGAAAATTCAGACTGCTTTGGAACATAGCAAAGGAGTAAAAGGTTCAGAGATATGTGCTATCTCGAGTAGTTATATAGGTCTGGAAAACCCATCTGCTATGTTCTGCAGAAGAATCCAGATGATACTCCATTTATTAAAGGGATAAGGAATGTGCTGGTAAAAGGAGGCACCAGAATCATTGAGAAACTCAGTGATCTTCTGTAGGCCAGGCCATAGAAGTAAGATAAGCCATTGTAAAACTGGGCTCCCTAATAGACAGGGGTAGGATAGGATTCTATCATGTAACAGAGGTTAGGTAGTAGCACTTAAACCATCACATGCAAAGTAGGTGAGATTATCATAGTAAGCAGAAAAAAACAGAGCGTTTCCCAGAGGGGTCTGAGACAAAGAGGGCTGTGGAGATGGTTGTGAGATGATGGGTCTAGGGACAAGGTGGACAACCAGTACAAGTTTTGACTATTGCTCAATCTATAAAATGAAAAGAAATTAAGAATGAATGATCAGGAGGCTGAGGGCAGCTGCCCAAATAAAAAGACATGGTTGCTTGGCCAGTTTCTGTATCTGAGCCAGTTTTCAGGTCCAGAACCCAGTGGGTGAAGTCTGCCGTGCCAGATGTATCCTTGCCAATGAAGACTAGTATGGTCTCAGGTACAGACTGTTGGCCTGATGAATACAGTCATTTCCACCCTGATAAGAAAGGAGAATAAGAATCAGTTCAGGGCTGGGCGCGGTGGCTCAAGCCTGTAATCCCAGCACTTTGGGAGGCCGAGACGGGCGGATCACGAGGTCAGGAGATCGAGACCATCCTGGCTAACACGGTGAAACCCCGTCTCTACTAAAAAATACAAAAAACTAGCCGGGCGAGGTGGCGGGCGCCTATAGTCCCAGCTACTCGGGAGGCTGAGGCAGGAGAATGGCGTGAACCCGGGAGGCGGAGCTTGCAGTGAGCTGAGATCCGGCCACTGCACTCCAGCCTGGGTGACAGAGAGAGACTCCGTCTCAAAAAAAAAAAAAAAAAAAAAAAAAAGAATCAGTTCAGGCCAGGTGTAGTGGCTCACGCCTGTAATCCCAGCACTTTGGGAGGCCAAGGTGGAAGGATCCCTTGAGCTTAGGAGCTTAAGACGAGCCTGGGCAACATGGCGAAACACCATCTCTACAAATTGCAAAAATTAGCTGAGCGTAGTGACTCACACCTCTAGTCCCAGCCACTTGGGAAGCTGAAGTGGGAGGATGGCTTGAGCCTGGGAGGCAGAGGTTGCAGTGAGCCAAGATTGCACTACTGCACTCCAGACTGGGCAACAGAGTGAGATCCTGTCTCAATTAAAAAAAAAAAAAGAAAGAAGAAGAAAAAAAGAATCAGTTTGCATTCATGTGGAAATGGACACAATAAGTATTAATTTATGTTTCCACCCTAGGGCTATGTTAACTTTTCTGTCCTTTCACATAATATAGTAGAAAGACATTCAGATCACCTGGAGATGCAGATTATCACATTGGTTTATTACAACTATCACTTCATTGAACTGGATGAGCAAGAAGTCGCCAACATGTGGGTGGCCCTGGAAAAAAAATTTGTGCTCCAGAGAGTGGGAGAGAAACCTTATGAAGATTCAGTGTTCTAAGACATCAGTGAAGTTTTTTTTGTTTTGTTTTTTTGTTTTTTTTGAGATGGAGTCTCGCTCTGTAGCCCAGGCTGGAGTGCAGTGGCTCAATCTCCACTCACTGCAAGCTCTGCCTCCTGGGTTTACGCCATTCTCCTGCCTCAGCCTCCCGAGTAGCTGGGACTACAGGCGCCCACCACCACACCTGGCTAGTTTTTTGTATTTTTAAAGTAGAGACGGGGTTTCACCATGTTAGCCAGGATGGTCTTGATCTCCTGACCTTGTGATGCACCCGTCTCGGCCTCCCAAAGTGCTGGGATTACCAGCTTGAGCCACTGCGCCCGGCCGGAGTTTTTAAAGGTCTAGTGGAGGGTATGCTAGGACATCCCCTCTGAAGTAAAGGATACATTGTTGAGTTTGTATCTGCCATCACTAGGAAGGAAACGCAATACCTGGTAGAACTCTATGTTCTGGTGGCAGCATATACCAAGCTCCAGCTCATTTATGGTGTAATGTGGAAAGCTTTCCAGAGCAAGACATGGCTTTGCAACAGGTCCAGCCTGTGGTGCAGGCAGCACTGTTATTTGGACCTTAAGATGGAGAAGCCCCTATGATGTTGGAGGTATCAATGGTGGGAAAAGATGTCTTGTGCAGTTTATGGCAAGCCCACATAGACCCTAGGATTTGGAACACGGCCCACCATCTACACAGAATTTATAGACCTTTTAAAAATCAGCTTCTGGTATGCTACTGGCCTTGACAGAAATAGAGCATCTGATTATGTACTATGTATCCATGTGACCAGAAGGGCCCATTATGAGCTAGCTTCTGGGTTCTACAAGAACCACCAAGTCATAAGGTCAGGTAGGCCTAACAGCAACCCATTGTAATTGGGAAGTGGTACATCTGGACTGGGTACAAGCAGGCTCAGAGGGTACAGCTATCACCTAGGCACAGCTATCACACAGACCCCAGTTACATTGACAGACCCCAGTTACATTGACAGACATTGCCACTTTTATGGTTTTAGCTAACATTACCTATGTGAAAAGATACTAGCAAAACTTTGTCTTAGTAAGGTTCCAATTAGGAAGACATAAATGATTCTGAGTATTTGAAAATAGAGTTTATGATAGAGAATTGTTACTATTGATAGATAATTGTTAATCAACAGGGGATGGTGAGGCAATCCAGAGATTAGCAATGATAGGCAGCCACTGTACCCTTGGCTGGAGAAGAAGTGGTATTCCTGGAACCCAGGGGTAGGGGTTACCTGGTATGCCAGTCATCAATTTATTGTCTCTTCACTCCAAATCCATTCTTCATTGCCTGTAGTCATAATTCTAAGATGGCCCCCAAGATTCTTATAGGACCTTGTCCAGGTCCTGTGTAATCCCTTTTCCTTGAGTATAGATGGGACTGTGAACATGATGGATTTTACTCCCGTGATGAGGTTACATCAGATGACAAAGATGAAGATGTAATTGAGATCTCAAATCAGTTGACTTCGAGTTAATCGAAGGGTGGTTTTCCTGAGTGGGTCTGACCGACTCAGGTGCTTTCTTGAAAGGGAAAGAGGACTCTTCTTGGGAGAGGAGATTCAAAGTTAAGAGGGCCCATGGAGGGGGCGACATGGCCAGAGTACCCTCTAGTTGTTGAGAGTGGTCCCTGGTTGACAGCCAGCAAGAAAAACAAGGTCTTTAGTTCTACAACTGCAAGGAACTAAATTCTGCCAATGACCTAAATGAACTTGGAAGTGGATCACTTCCTACTTGATCCTCCAGATGAATATGTAGCCAGCTGACACCTTGATTTCAGCTGTGTGAGACCTTAAGCAGAGTACCCAGACAAGATGTGCCAGACTCCTAAGCCGCAGGAGCTGTGCAATAATAACTTTGTGTTGTTTAAGCCACTAAGTTTGTGGTGATATGTTATGCATCAATAGCAAACTAGTACAGGCCCTGTAAATAGTTTTCCTCCTGCATGATATTAAGCTTTGCTGGTAGACGGTGCTGGCGAGACATTGCACAGGAAGGTTTTTTTTTCTCTCTCTTTCTGACTTCCATGTGCTCCTCTCACGGTGTTCCTGCAGTATGTACAGCATCTGCCATACTTGGCTCCTGCAACACACATGGCTTCTGTAGTGCCCAGCTTGTGCATGCAGCTTCTGCAGTATTTCCTAGCTGGCAGCACACAGTACCTCCCCATGGGGAATTTCCCCAGCATCGCCTAAGGTAGCTTTGCAATGGGTGGCAAGGTTTGGCATCTCTCTGTAGACAGCTTCTGTTAGTACCTCAGCAAGGGCTTCTGGCATGGCACCTCAGCTTCACTATCCAGTGAGCCAAGGCTATTCCCTCTCCAACAAGATCTGGATTTTTGTCTTGGTGAGGTTGCAGAGATCTTACTTGGATGCTTTATCTCAGTCCCAGGGTTGTGACTGCTCCTTATATCTGCTATTCTTGTATTCTTTAGAATTCTCTTTCTTACTGCGTTACTCCAATATCTCTCTAATACATTTTCTTTATTTTAAATTTTAATTTAACTTTTTAATCTTATTTTTCGAGTTGGGACCTTGCTATGTTGTCCAGGCTGGTCTTGAACTCCTGGGTCCAAGCAATTCTCCCTCCTTGGCCTTTCAAAGTGCTGGTATTACAGGCGTGAGCCACTGTGCCTGGCCTAATTTTCTATATTAAATTTTTCCTGTTTAAATTACTGTGTGCATTATTTTTCCTGATTGGACCCTGACTGATATATCTGACAAAGTTGGACTCACAGCAGGACTCTTCAGTTGGGAGCTGGGGCCAGATGGGAGAGCCAGTCATTGCTCCAGTTGTCTTCTAAGGCAAAAAGGAAGGAGAAATACCTTGATTTCTTCTTTACCACCCACTTCCAATCTCCCAGCCTGTAACCTCTACTAGTGCCTCCCATTGGCCAAACTCAGCTGGAAGCAAGCTGGCACGGGGACCA